CCCCCCCCGCCACCAAAGCATACAAACATAGGACGCGAGAGATGGTCATGTTTTCACCTTATTTCGGGCACTGCTTACACGGAGTAATATCCGCTTTCTACGAAAACTGCTTTCAATTAAAACCGCTTCTAATAAACTGTTTTCTCACCAGCGCGAGCTCGGTGATGAGGCACTCATGCACGATGCCCTGATATGGATATGGAGTACCTACCACGTTCCAATCATCATTTCTGAGAACGGCTACGGTGACACGCAGGGTGTGGGAGTAAACGATACAGTCCGTGCTGCATACCACAGTGTAAGGACCCATCAGAGAGTGTGATAATTTTTTATTATTACATTATTATTCCTCTAAGAAAGTGACCAGTATCTAAGACTTGATTTTCAAAACATATCAGTCAAGCTGCTTACGGAATATTAAGCATTTGACATACCGGGGTGATGAGGGAGGTCCCCCCCTCCGGGAGGTCCCCCCGTGATATTTTTTCTTTTTAAATAATACTTTTAGTAAAGTAATAAAATATTAGAAAATATTCCAAAATATTATAAATAATATTGGGGCGTGCTGCGCGATTTTCCATACTGTTCCCGACGATCCGATCGGCTGTTCCCGCTCGAGTGAGAATATTTGAAGATAGTAAATGATAGCTTGCCCATCGGCACGGCGTCGTCTGATATTGTTATTTAAAAAAATGATTCAAACCTTCAAATTTAATATAAAAATTTAAAACAAATTTCTGTACTGCAGCTGGCGATTCCTCTGGCGATCTGGCAAAGGTGAAAGCCATGACAGCATTTAGAAAACTTCGTGCTTATTAAGGTGGGCCTCCAATAAGACGTGGAACATATAACCCATCTCCCATCATTTTAGATTCTGCTGTTATTGATGCAGCCGGATTTGCTCACACTGTTATTCAAGGAATGTGACGTCACATTCGTTTCGATGTGAAACGTGTCACATTCGTTTGAATATTGTCACATTCATTTGAACGTGACTGCACGTGAATTTATGCTCAAATAGCACCAGGCATTGGGCGATTCACGTTTAAACGAATGTGACACAACATTTAAACGAACGTGACACGATTCACAATAAATCGAATGTGACGTCACATTCGTTGAATATCAGTGCAATGTAAATTGGAAGGTTAGCAATGCAATAACTACATTTTCACAAATTTTGTGGGCACTGGGCGAGGAACCCATCCGTACCGCTCATTTATGAGTAGACCCGTATATGGTCACTCATACATGTTTATAGTTTTTGAAAATGTATGTATTGTGTTACTAAACTTTCAAAGTACATTTAGCCAACTCGGGCTGCATCAAAAACAGCAAAATCTGCAATGATGGGTAATAGGTGACGGGTTCCAGGTTTCATTGGAGGCCACCTGCTCACTGTTAACACAAGTGTTCAACTTCTTAAAACCTGCAAGTCTGTAACACCCAAAATACACACGTGCAAGTGTTTAACTCCAAGTGCTCAACTGACTAGTTGGAAACTTGCAGATATACATTTCAGCAGTTACTCACTCATAAAGTTTCAAAAAGTGGCGTGTTTGGCTGCGCAGTTGAACATACTGGTGTCTAACTGCTGGGATGCACAAGAGTGCATCGAAAAACACTTTTTTTCGAATCTGATATCGGCTCTGGTGGATACATGTTCTATCTAGTAACACTATTAACGGTGTGAAATATTATTTCGATCTGGTAAAATCTTTAGCCTCCACGGCGGCATCAAAGTTTAGCATGGAGCTCTTAAGGGAAAAAAGCATAAAAACTGAAATTTTCCATAGGAGCGTTCCTGTCGTATAATTTGCCGTTTCAATTTTTAGAAATGAAATAATGAGAGAAGGGCGAGCTGGAGAAGAGGCTTTACAGCGCCGAATACCCGCTTTTCTGACCGGGAAACCGAAAGGCTTGTAAAATTTTCATCTTGCGAGGACGACCTGCAGCCCATCGGATTCCTGAGTGTTTTCCCCTTGGAGTGGCCTTTTCCGTAGTTCTGCGATCAAAACTACGCTTTCCCAAGCCGGTGAAAGCGCGCCATCGGGGGTTGGCGGAGCCGACGGCAGCCCTGGCTGCCAGCGAGTCTGTCCGGTTTTGCACATTTCAGCTCATTTGCGCAGTTGTGTGTGAGCCGATTCAGTTCAAAGTTGGTATCCAGAGGTTTTCGAGGGTGCTGATTCCATTTCCGGTTATGCAATGTACGCATAAAATCGCTTCCGGAGATGTGCTACTTATCATATGAGCACCTGTCCTCATGAACAAGGAGCTGTCAAAGAAGCGGATTTTGAGTCAAAATTGCAATTTTTCGTCATACAACTGGGTACATATGAAATGGAAGGCCACAAGTGGCACATCTCCGGACGCGTTTTTACATTGCATTTCTACTAATTATAACAGCGAAATTTTCAACAAGAACCCTCATATGAAAAATTTCAGTTTTTGTGCTTTTCTCGCATATAAGAGTTTATGCTAAACTTTGAGACCGCTGTTGAGACTGGGGACTTTATCTGATAGAAATAATATTTTACACCGTTAATAGTGGTACTGCATAGAACATTTCTTCACCAGAGCTGATATCAGATTCGAAAATGCACACTTACGGGTGTAGTACAAGTTATTTCAGCACTTAAACATGTGTAATTTTGAAATTGGGAGATGAACACTCGCACGTATGTAACTTGGAGTTGCACACTGTGTTGGTTTGTTTTAGAATTTTCATATCAAATTTTCAGGTTTGAATACTTTTCTAAATAACAATAACAAATGACGCCGCGCCGATGGGCACGCCATCATTAATCATGTTCAAATATTCTCACTCGCGCGGGAACAGCCGATGGGATCGTCGGGAACAGTATGGAAAATCGCGCAGCACGCTCAGACATTATTTATAATATTTTCGAATATTTTACAATATTTTATTATTTTACTAAAAATATTATTTAAAAATAATAAAATATTCCTCCCGGAGGGGGGACCTCCGCGACGTTTCCCGACATACCCACCAGGGTTTAAGGTGATTATAAAAAAAATGTGCAGTCTTGTTCCACAGTAAAAGCAATGTCTCATTTTTGGAGGAAAAATGGAAAACTTGAGAAACTTCTATGTTAGAGGAATAGTCCTCCGATCTCTACTCAAACTATGAGGAATCTTCTCAAAATATCAGGAAAAATCCCTTATTTTTTAAATATATCCCCGAAATCTGAGGAGTTTTTTGTCAAACCAGGGGAGTTCCTCAAAGTTTTCCTTCTCCCCTCAAAATTTGAGACATTGTTTTTAGCGTGTCCAAATTACTTTCTGTATTAAAATGCTAGTCATGTGCCCTAATTTTGGACCAGGGCCCTAATTTCGGACAAAACACGTAGAAATGCTGAAATTAACATAACTCAGCAATTGTTGTGATATTTATAATCCGAAAACTGCATTGGAAAGATAAGATCCTACAGTTCTAGGATACATCTTTTTGGTGTCGGTACCACTTTTTCAGATACGCCTGCAGAGCTTTGAAAATGAAATTTGCGAAAAGGAAATCGCGTACTTTTTAAGAAGGCTCTCCGGAAGTCCGGGGCTCGTGGACCTTATAGCGGCCCCGGGGCTGACCGTTCTACACATTGATCTATAGCCCTTCGCCGACAAAATTACGTTTAAAAGTTATTCATGTGTCAAACCGTTCCCTTTGTATGGGCTACTTTATGAAAGTGCTCCAATTTCGGACAGTCAGATTAAATTGTAGTGAAATTACATTTTCATCGCAGATTTTAGTAGAAACTACTGTTTTTGCTACTACGGAGGAGCACTATGGTACCCTAGATCCCCATCTTCTCAATTCCGTTTTCAGACTTCTTAAAATATTGCAACAGACAACCAAGATGGGTAGAGTCTACCATTTCTTTTAGATTTTGTCCGAAATTAGAGCACCTTGTCTGAAAGCAGCGCACGCTACCTAAGCATAATGAGTGATTTTAGCGGTTAGAAGAACATGAAGAAGTTCCAAGATGACCGCCACGGACCACAACAAACATTCAACTGTTTTCCCGAAGCGGCTGCTAGCAGCCGCCCGCGCTCAAGGTCATATTGCACCTATTTGAGTCAAATTTGGTAAGAGAAAGAGGGGAACACATAAAATAGCATTTAAACATACGTGACGAATTTTTCAGGTTCGTTAATAAGATATGGTGTTAGTTCGTTAAAACTGTGAACATGAACTATTATTTTCATCGATAAACAGTAAATATCATTCTTAAAGGTCCGATATCGTTTCAATGGTGTTCTTCACGTTTTTCTGATTCTAACAAAACCAAATTTGACTCCAACAGACGCGATATAACATTAGGTAGGTTATTGGGGCTCCCGAGCGCGAGCGGCTGCTCGGGAAAAAAGTTGAATGTTTGTTGTGGTCCGTGGCGGCCATCTTGGAACTTCTTCTTGTTCTTCTAACCGCTAAAATCACTCATTTCGCAACCCGTGCGTAAACATAAAAATTCTAAATGGGTGTCATCCAATGGGGGTTGAGCAGTAGTATTTAGAGATGGAAAAATCCGCTGAGTTTTTTCAAAATGCAGACGTGTCTGAAATTAGAGCACTTTCAGTCTCTAATTTCGGACATGTCCGAAAGACTGCAGTCTTAAAATGGCTGCTGTGGTTTACCATATTGAGCTATAAATTTGACACGGGTATCATTCGATAGGTCCTGACCCATAGTACCTTCAATCTCAACAGATTTTTTAGACTCTATCAGGTGTGCACGAATCAGACGGAAAATAGCAAATTTTGTCCGAAATTTTGGCTCACGACTGTACTGAACCGTCCGATTACGTCTTCAAAGACGTCAAACTAGGAAGTCCCCCGACCTCCGGTGTGGGAGAGCGGCACAGTATCCACTGGGCCAGGACGAATACTGTAGGGGACTGGGCGGATCCCTCCTTTGATACAGAGACAAGTGTGCTGTCGGCGATTCGGTAGAGGTGGTGAGCAGCCACCGACCGGAGGTCGGGGTCCGAGTCCGCCCGCTGCGACGTGTTCGCCTCTTTCCATGCGAGTGTTCCGGCGTGCCGGCGTGCCGTGCGCATCACGCGGTGTGTCGTGCTGTTGAAATCCAGGACGCATCGAATTTTTCCGCGCGCCGTTTCTCCGTGACCGGAGGACGCTTCTAGGTTGTCTTCAAAATGTGTATATTTTGTCTTCTTGGTGTCTCTATGGTGTCTCCTGGATGTCTCTGTAGTGTCTCCTGTATAGTCTCCATAGTGCCTCATGTATGTCTTCACGAAGTCTCCTCGCAGTCTCTGCGTTGTCTCCGGGCAGTCCGTATAATGTCTATCGATAGTCTGCTCAGTGTCCGCATGCTGGCTTTAGGATGTCTCTTTTTGGCCTTAAAAGATCCTTCCTAGAGCCACTCCAAGTGTCTCTGAGTTGCCCCAGCAAAGGCTCAGGAGTGGCTTGCGATAGCCTCGGCGCAGTCTGGACGATGTCTCTCAAAGAGACATCCTAAAGGCACATATTTTTGTACGGGCGGTTCCATTGATACTATTGGCTGAGCGATTAGCGCAGCCTATTATTACTCCGTCTGGTCGGAAAAAAACTTTTTCAGTCTGTCTTTCTGTGTGTGCGTGTGTGTGTGTCTATCCGCTCGATAACTCGAGAACGAATTGGGCGAGCGACCTGGGATTTCCAGGGTAGTATTGTACCATAAAAAGCAGGTCAAGTTCGAAGATGAGCCAGTTTCTACCACACGGGCCGCGCGCGGGGGGCTAGAGCGTCAGGTCGCCGCGACCACCTGTTGCATCTCAATTCCACATTACCTCAGTACCGCCAACAATAAGCACTGTGCGACGTCTAACGTTATGTCTTACGTTACGTCTTACGTTACGTCTTACGTTACGTCTTACGTTACGTCTTACGTTACGTCTTACGTTACGTCTTGCGTAACGTCTTACGTAACGTCTTCATAAGACGTAGCGTAAGACGTAACGTAACGGTTCTGTACAATATTCGGTGAACGCTGTCTCTACGCCATTTCCGTACTATTTTTGCCGCAAGTCTTAATAATCCCAACTTCAAAATCACTTCAATTTTTGTATGCCAATTAAATTCCTAGACAGGGAGTTGTTTTTCAGTTAACACGAAGTACCGCCAACAATAGACACTGTGCTCGAGGCCACTCCCGCCGTCCCTTTGTTGACAGTGCACCCAAACCCAAAACAGAGAGCTAAATGAAGTAAATTTCTAGAATGTTTGTACAGCCACGAAGCTTTCTGGTGGCTAATAGAACTTTCTACGGTGCACACATTCGTCCTACCACACCGACAGCATTGTTTAAATCCAGGTACCAGGTAGTGAGTGCCTCGGTCCCCTCGGTCAGAGCGAACACCTCTATGTTCAGTGTTGCGGGTTTGCATACCATTTCATGCCCCAGGGGCCAAGACGCAATATGGGCTAACAGCATAGGCCAACACCCCGTACAACTAAAAATGTTTACTTCTTTATTTACATTAGGATATATACGGTACCTCCTATCAATATGCGCTTATTTGCTTATTTGTTTTTAGTCCACACAGACCCGCTCATTACTAAGGGCTCTAAACAGAACCGCTCATCTGCGCGGGTCCTACTCAGAACCGCTCATCTCTCTGAAATACGGGCGGGTGATTCCCAGATTTCAATGGATGTTCCTAGGTGCTGAGCTTCAATTTAGAAACAAAAAATGCAACAAGCTCTCTTGTCTGTACTGGAACATCATATTTAAACTGCCATAGCCCGTAAAAACCTCCGATATTGGGTGATATTATAGTAAATACGAGGGGCAACATAACCTAACCAGCGCCCCGGCCACGAGCAGACCCAAGGAGGAAGGCAAAGTCAACATTACATCAAAATGACGTCAAAATGACCTTCAAGGTCAAAATTGGGGACCATTTTGACGTCTTCGTGATGTCAAAATGGTCCCCTACGTTGACTTTAGAAGTCATTTTGACATCATTTTGATGTCATGCTGACTTTGCCCTCCTCCTTGGGGATGAGCGGTTCTGTGCAGGGCCCGCGCAGGTAAGCGGTTCTGTGTAGAACCCGAGGTGATGAGCGATTACGTTTAACCTAAAGAATTATAAGCGCATATTGATAGGAGGTGCCGTATAATTTAGTTTTCTTTACATGGGTTCGTTTCGCAGTTTACACGAAGTGTTAACGTTTTTTTAAATCTCATTGTTTGCTACAGGGGTAACTCCTTTCAGTAGAGCCCTATGGGCGAAAATTTTATCCGTTTCGCTCCAGCTCAAACCGTTCAGGCGCTAGAGGCTATTTTTGACGAAAATAAGCGAAAAAATATACAACCCTGCATGCTTAGTCGAAGTGACGCGCCGTTGAGGGGCCGGAGGCTCGTATCTTTGTGTACATTTTTTCACTACCCGACTTGGGTGTCAGCGCCGCAGGCGAAGGTAGATGTATGCCAGGCGCGTCGCAGCATAACAGTGTTTCTCGAGATATCGCGAAGCCTACGCGAGACGTGGTTGTGTCTGATGTTATGCTGGAAATTTTCTCTTGATTCATGTGATTTTCCAAGGCTTTAAAGGAAAAATGGCCATAGGGTGAAAAATCATCCTTTAAAACAAAGAGAGTTCCTTCAAATTAAAGGAAACATTCTAGCATGTCTATATGAACGGGAATTTCCGTTGGAATAAGGAGACTACCGTTACTTCAACGGAACTATTTTCTCTGTGTGGCGGGAGGAGACTTTGCCGACCGGCCGCCAGCCGCGCCAGCCTCCGCTTCGCTCGGCCTCACCTCCGCAACTGACTGGGGAGCTTGGCTCTGTGGCCAGATAGAAGAGACTGTCTTTCATTAAAAAATAACAAAAAAAAAACAAAAAAAAAACAAATTGACAGCAGACTGAAACCTTTGTGTATACACAATGTCATTTTTCGACGTCTACATTCTTCATTGGCTGAGCGATCAGCGAAGCCTATTACTCCAGTGATGATCAAAAAGTTTCGCGTCTGTCTGTCTGTGTGTCTGTTTGTCTGTCAACACCGATAACTCGAGAACGAATTGAGCTAGCGACCTGGGATTTTGGGTGTCATAAAAAGACAGATCAAGTACGAAGAAGAGCATTCTAGCTCAAAAATTGGATTTAAAAAAAAACAACAAAAAAACAAAACACAGGTCCCCAAAATGACGTGGTTTTTTTTTTCAAAAAAACAATTTACTGTTTCCTGAGGGGTAACTCATCAAAGTAGAGTGCTATGGGCGTAAATTTGGTCCATTTTGCTCTATCTCCAACCGTTTAGGCACCAGAGGGAGTTTTCTACATAAAAATGACCGCAAAACATTTTTATGTTTTTTCTCAGATATTTGATGGTCTCTGGTAGGTTAACTCGTTAAAATAAAAACCCGAGGAACAAAATTTGTGACTTGTGGGGCCGAATGCCTACTTACGACTCTACCTTTAGCCCGACTCGGGTGTCAGCGCCGCAGGCCTAGGTAGGCGCGTTGCAGCGCAACAGTGTTTCGTGAGACATCGCGAAGCCTGTTACGCGAGACGTGGTCTGGCGTACATCTACCTAGTTCTAATAGGTTGTCGAAAAATAGCAAAGCATATTCGATACAAGGCACTCTCTTCTGTTTGCCGTGTTAGGTACCCATTTATATTAAACATCAGTTTTGTGCTCTCTTTAATCAGTTTGTATTTTGCAGGCTAACCTTCGTTCCCTCGTACGCACAATGAACGAATACGGTATAGACGTTCTTGCGTACTACGCGTGGTCACTACTGGATGTGTTCGAGTTTACAGGCGGTTACTTTTTGTGAGTACACATTCCTTCAAAATCGACGTGTCCTAGCCGCAAGAGCACACTTAAGTTGACCTCGCGACTTAAGGGACCAGTAGGCTATTTTTTAAAAAAAGATCGGTATGCTGGAACGCATTTTCGATGAAAATATAGTCAATTCTAAGGATAACAGTCGTTGTCCGAGGGTTTTACGACCCCTGGAACAATACGTGCCTTGCGCGGGCAAGGCTTCACATTGCTTTTAGCGGGTTCAATATTCAATATTCGTTCAATATTTTCGGTCGGGGTTTTTCGCCAGAATGTAGCTTAGACCCAGAATCACACTTAGATCGTCCACACCATTTTGTTGCGTCAACTCAAGAATGCGATGGGAAACGTGTTTGCGGGCCTGGCCGAGGCGGCATAGTTCGCTCCCTTCTGCAGCACTCGACTGACACTCGCTGGGTTGGTGCAGCGACTTCTTTATTAGCCGGGGATGAGCGCCAGGCGAGTGAAATGCTCAGGTGGGTAAGTGGTTTGTAAATGTAGTTGACTGTGTTTTCCTGGCAATGGTAGGGACTTTCTGCTGAGAGAGAGTGCAGCTCTGGCGATCGGACCTCAAAAGGATAGATTGGACCTCAACCAAACCCAAAAAGTGCTCGGATATACTAGGCGCACTAATACAAGACCTATGGCTCGTTGAACAAAGGCCTGAATTTGTTACACTCTGCGCCGCCCCGGGGCCGTGTGTAACGACACTGGGGCAGTGTGTAACGACACCGGGGCAGTGTGTAACGACACTTGGGCAGTGTGTAACGACACTACACTGGGGCAGTGTGTAACGACACTACACTGGGGCAGTGTGTAACGACACCGGGGCAGTGTGTAACGACACCGGCAGTGTGTAACGACACCGGGGCAGTGTGTAACGACACTGGGGCAGTGTGTAAGAAAGGGAACGATTGAGTTCTGGAGACAGCTAGAAAGAAAGGCAACAGCTTCTCATTGCTTTCTATATTAACTGCTGATATATAATAACGGTTTTTCAACAACATCCATTGTTTCTAATACATTTTTCTTCAATTTTAATTGAAAACACTAAAGTGGTACTTATTTTGGATATATTTTGTTAATGCTGACTGTACACAAGCAATTGTGCTTCAGTTAGACTGTTAGTAGGGCATAGGCATGTCGCTGATATATGCAAATAAGACGATTCGTTTCGTTACAAACAGCTTAAGGGGGCAGACCTGTGAAAATCATCAAAAAATTCAATTTTTTTTTCATCTCTCAAAAAATTGTTTGATCTTTCCTCTTTCTAATGCCGCAAAGCGGATGTTAAAATTCGAAAAATTGCGCTCAGGAGAGCCCAAAACGTGCTGCGGGTGGCCGGGTGGCTGGACCGCTAGGGCTCGCCTGGCCGCTCAGGACAGAATTCACGACGAGGAAGGAGTCCTCTAGAGCCCCAGAATCTTTTAGGACCAGTTCAGTAAGTTGCCCTTGGTTTTGGTTCGTCGCTATACATAGGTACTGAAAACTTTCTCGGAATGACTTTTTGCAAACGGTGTGCAACCTCCAGGCCGTAGTTTTGGAGCTATCGACTTAATATTTGGCCCGAATGTTTTCCACTTATGTGCCCAGGATCTGACAAGGGCGATTTTTTAAAACTCAATTGCAAGGTACCGAAACCAGGGAAAAAGTACCCAAATTTTAACCCATTTTTTTTTACTCATTTTTTGAGAATTTTTTTCGAGCTTTTCGGAGTGGGATTTCAAAAAACCATCCTGTCAGATCCTAGATACATGTTTTAAGAGAATCGAGCGATTTTTTTCACAGTTGCAAACCCACCGGTTCAGGCACAATCGTGCACACCGCAAAGACCTACATCGGCTCCAGTTCAAGGCCATGCTGGCCATGTTTGTGGAGGGGTCGGCACCGCTCAGTGGCCAAATTGTGGGGCCATCTTTACTTTATATAGACGCGCAGTACTAAAACTCTGAGTCGCCCCGTTTTTTTAAAATAATTTTTTCCCCATACCCTTGTATTTCACAGGTCTGCCCCCTTAAGACTACCCCAGACGTTCATGTTACACACTGCCCCAAGGTACACAGCCTGCTTTGTGGCCTCGTAGGCCGAGGACCCTCGAGGTTGTAATAGTGAAAACGGCCACTTTCCAAGTGCTATGGTGTATACTTCGATAGATAATCATTAGTTAGGGGAGAGTGGGGCACATTGGTCCATGGGGCACATTGGTCCACCATCAAGTTTCACGAGGAAAGAGCAATCGCAGTGACCTGACTCACACTATAGAAGAAGCCATTACCACCCTGACTGATTTTCTGGAAGGTATGACAAAGTTCACTGGCAACCATCGGATTGGCGAGGGGTTAAATATTTTTTAACCTCAAAATCAGGTAAAAGTAAAACGTCTTTACTCCACAACTAGCCCATTTAGAGGTACATCACACTTATTTTCGGTTACAAACCAAGTTTTATGGAAAAGCCTACTCTTTTAGCTACAGATTGCAACCAGTGTCCAATTGGTTAGGGCAATTCAGTTATCTTTTGGAGCCATTAATGAAATTTGCTACCCTTGGGGCAGTTTGAGCCGTCTTGCAAACTGACTTATTTAATTTTTCGAAAACTTGTTTCCACTTGGTATGTTCTTCTTAGAATAACACTTAGACACCCTGATGGTGTTCAGAATAAAGCTAGGGTTGTCTTCGCCATTTTTTTTTACCTTGGCTCAATGTGCCCCATGCATGTCGGCCCAATGTGCCCCGGGCAGGGGCACATTGGTCCACGAGCAGGCCTCTGCGGGTTTCGGTTTTCCTCAGTCTGTACCTACAGAAAAGTGTTGCGACCAATTTTCTGAGGTAAAGTAAGGACCAAACTAAAACTTCGCGATAGAAAATAATTTCTTGCTCGTAACATGAAGCATTGGGAGCAAAAAGAAAAAAAAAACGGACCAATGTGCCCCACTCTCCCCTAGGGGGTGGTTTGAATCAAACCAGCTTAGCCCAAATAGATTATGTCCTTTTATGATGACAATTCCCAACAAACCGGGTGCGCCGGACTTGTGCGCCCTCTCACCGCCGTTACACCTCCCCAACCACTGATTTCTTGATTGCAAATGATCTAAGTCATTGAGAAGTCACAATATAAAAATTCACATTTGGTTCTGGACGTGCCATATTCGAAATACAGAGGTCTGTTACACACTGCCCCACCCTCCCTACCGCGTCAAACTGTAACCGCAGAGGCCCACAAAAACACCGGGCAACGACCATTATCCTTAGGGTTGACTATATTTTCGTTTTACATGCGTTTCAGCATGATCGAACGCCTGAAACGGCCTTGGGGACAGTATACTGAAAACCTTCAAATCTACATAAGACAGAAGAAATGAAGAAAAAGTGGTTCATTATTGTTGTAGTACTCCCTTTAAAAACAGCTATCGAATGACCTAATCTCCCGGAAAAGTTTACAAACCTTTTAAATGTTATATGTTCTTAACGAAAAGTTTTTTGCTTGATTCACTAGCTTCCATAGCGTCCACAGATTAGATTAATCCTCAAAGTGGGTGTGAGTCCTACAACAACTATAAACGACTCTTTGTTCATTTTTTCTCTTATATGAATTCCATCTGTTTAAATCCACTAAATGTATTGGTGTCTTATTGTTTCAATATTCTCTCCCTTCAATAATGCACCGCACTAACTTTTCTGGTGTCCCCCAGCACAAGAGTGCTGGGATACCTTGAGTAAAATATGTCCGAAGTATGAAACAGACACCGGAACCGGTTCCATCCAAGTACCCATTGTAGATTTAGAAAAGATTGAGAATGTTTCGAATTATCTTTAAAACTGACCCCTAAAAAAATCCCTCTAACTTAACTATTTTAAGCACCACGCCGTTCTATGACGTAGTCAGAAAATAATAAACAAAGCCTACCTCATTTGGAACGAGTGAGGCGTAATCATTTCGCTGAGAAGAACCTTTTTGATTTAAAATTATGCCTGTATATGTCTGTATGCCATTAGTTTAATTTATTTTACAGGCGTCCGTTTGGGATTATTCACGTCGACTACAAGACAGGTTCACTGAATCGCACTCTAAAAGATTCAGCACAGTTCTTTATTGACCTGTATACAACTGGGAGGGTGCCGTATGTGACTCTACCACCAGAAAAAGGGGCATCAGGAAGCACCTCTCCATTCATAGCAGCAGGAATGCTTCTTGCAGCTGTGTTTATAGCCATGGAGTTTAGGGTTTGACCAACATACTTCAAGATGGAGTGTCAAAGAATTACTGCAAATGTCTTGAAATTTTATAACAAGTTTGATATGAGGTTTAATAAAAACATCGTTTTTTCGCTGAGCGATAACGAAGCCAATTTTTAGACAGTCCCTTGTGGTCTGTCTCTACCCGAAGGTAAAAGTTTCCCGTTTTGATAAATATTGCCGGTTTCCGCTATCCAGTTTTGATAAAGATTGTCGATTGACGTTCCAGTTCCAGTTTTGATGAGCTGATTGGCGTTGATAAAGATACGTCTTGCTATAATATTATGTTTAGGGAGGCTGTGGGAGAAGGCGCTGCTGCCTTTGTCCGTTTCCGTCCGGACCAAGCCCGGTGGCAGCCCCCAGTCATCGCTCTGCTTGAGTTGTAAACATTTACAGTATTTGCTTCGTGCCGTGCCCCGCGCCGAGTCATAATGAGACGGCCGACCCCCTCTTGAGCACCTTGAGTCTTGGAGCGCTGCTCCTCTCGCCCTCGACGTGTGCCTGCAGAAGCAGTGGCGTATCTGTGAAGAGGCGCGCAGCACTGGCGGATCTGCGGCGGCCCCGCAAACACTGGCGGATCTGGGAAGGGACAGTCATCACGGGCGTATCTGCTTTTCGGCTGATCTGCAGTCAACTTTGGATGCCTATTTCTCATCGTAGGTATGTCGTATAGTATTAAGTGATATCAAAACTCATTAACGAGGATATAAACATTACAATGAGGCACCAGTTAACACTGTACGACATGTCTACGATGAGCAATAGGCCTCCAAAGTTGACTGCAGACCACCCGAAAAGCAGATACGCCCGTGATGACCGTCCCTTCCCAGATCCGCCAGTGTTGGCGGGGCCGGCGCAGATCCGCCAGTGCTGCGCGCCTCTTCACAGGTACGCCACTTCTGCAGGCATACGTCGCAATAAACTCTGCCCCTTAGAGCTTAATCGGCACCGGCACCATATGGCTTGCCTTTCCACTTGACATGCGATCCCCAGTCTTAAATTTTAAATTTGAACCACAGCGCTCTGAAATATGAAATGTGCTTCCGGCAACTCGGTTCGGCAGGGAGCGGGCCCAGCTTGGCCTGCCGGCGGCGTTTGGTACGGGCCTTCGGCCAGTCCCTTCTGGATTTTCATGGTGTATTCCATCTTCTATCCGAAAACGGGCCTTCGGCCCGTTGGAGTGACAGTTCTCTTTGGACCATCTTTTTGCCAGGTACCTTTTCTGTCTACTTCGTAATCAAAACTCAACAAACGAAGTATTCTTTTCATACGCTGAACATCTTTGGCTGTGTGTGCCGCCGTTTGTAGAATACGTGCAAGTTATGCCAAATAATCCCTTCTAAGTTATTGATGCTAGCTTATGAATCAAATAACACACCTATGAAAAGATACATAGGACTAGCCCTAGAAGAAGTTAAATATTCTTCCAGGCATACTCTGAACGACTCCGAACGTGTTCGAACATCAAAATAAGTGTGTATTTCTGGTGTTTTTTTTTTTGTTTTTTTTTGCTTTTTTGCATGGAAGTGTACACGTTTCATTAATGATGTCCCACCATAAAATAAGCCCACTCTTCTGCTTAGGAGAGAATTTTGTGCCGACGGCATACTTCTCTGACAGAAGTGTACTTCTGAAAAAGTAAAAATATTTCTGTTTTGGCCAGTTTGGTAAGAAAAACTCCCTTTTTTAAGTAAACAGGACAAAACTTTAGCCCAAGAGGCTCTACTTTCACAAGTTACCCCTTAGGAGACCATCAAATGTTGTCTAAAATTCATATATTTATTTTCAAGCCACTTTCGTGGGTAAAACTCCCTCTAGCGCGTAAACGGTGAGAGATAGAACCAAACGGACGAAATTTTCGCCCAAAGGGCTCTACTTTCACGAGTTTCTCCTTAGGAGACCATAAATTTTAAGGTAGTTTTGTGTCATAAAAACATCGAGTTCGAATATGAACATTCTAGCTCAAAAATTGACTTTTTAAAAAATCGAATACTACAGGTCGCAGAATGTATTTGTTTCAAATACTTTTTATGGCTTCCTAATGGGTAACTCGTAAAAGTAGAACCCTCTGGGCGAAAATGTCGTCTATTTTGCTCTCATACCGTTTGGGTGCCAGGAGGCATTTCTTGACGAAAGTAAGGTGAAAATGACCAAATGGTCTATGAAATCGCAAAAAAAAAGGCTTGAAATCGATAACTTGTACCGGAGTTAATACTCAACCCACACATCTGGCGTTGAACTACGCCCTCCTTGCGCGCAAGGGTCTCTTGATAATCTACTATCACTAAAACGTTTATTTTTCATAAAGAATTGTCAAAATCAGACTTTCAATGAATATCTATATCGAATATCAGAAGTTTCATTTCAAATTCGGGGGCCGAAAGGCCCAATTTCCGTATTCACTAATGTAACTTGTCTCGAGTGTCAGCGCCGCAGGCCTAGCTATATGTGCGCCGGGCGCGTCGCAGCGTAACAGTGTTTCGTGAGATATCGCGAAGCCTGTTACGCGAGACGTGGTCTGGCGTACATATAGCTAGTTATAATTAGACACTACTAACGTCGATATATTAGAGCCCCCACAAGAATGTGGTTCATGGGCCCCCTGTCAACTAAGAGGGGATCCGCACAATCTTAGGTTAAGCGAAGCTACCTT